TCTTTGGAAGATGGAGTCTGCAGCATTGTGCCTTGCTGAGGTCCGTCTCCTCCCCCAACTCCACCCTCCCCAGACTTCACCTCCAAATCTCCAGGCATTTCCTAACCTAGAGCTGACAACCGTAGCCTGGGGCCACTATGACACGGACATCTAGAAGTGCATCAGGTTAGAAGGACTGGAAGAGCAATTGCAGCATTTGACTCTGTTTCCATAAATATACATTCTACCAGTGGTTTGGGCTTCCGGCCATGATTCCAAACATACAACATTTCGTTTGTGCATCTTGGCTGGATCTCTCAATGAGATTTTCCCAGTGACCCCTTTGAGGCCCTGCAGATGAAACACGATTGCTCCCGCTACCAAGTGAATTGTGGAAATTGATGGGAAGGACTTGGAGTCATCTCTAACAGAGAATCCTTACCCCTTTTGCCAAACGACAATTCCCAGTGTTCTTTTGGAGAAGACATGACAGCTGAATTGGTAAAACCAATGTGAGTGTTTAATGCAAACATATGTCCTAAATAATTTGACATCGTTTAGAACAAAGAGTTTCAAGAGTGTGGCCCATGGGGACATTGTTCAGAAGTTATGCTGCCCAAGCACCATCGAAATGAACTGGGGCTACGCATGACCTCAGCACAGCAAGAAGAGGAAACTTGTTGTGCAACTCACATCCATTGGAGTGAGGCCAGCACAAGAAAACATCCCAGTGGGTTGTGCCCATATCTTCCCGCATAAATTTTTAACAGCTGCTTACTCTGACGTTGTCAACTGGAGGATCGTAACCACAATTCTGTGAGATTTATGTATATATAGAGAGCCAGTTTGGTGTAGTGGTTAAGCGTGTGGACTCTAATCTGGGAGAACCAGGTTTGATTCCCCACGCCTCCACTTGCAGCTGCTGGATGACCTTGGGCAAGCCGTAGTTCTGATAAGAGCTGTTCTTGAAAAAGAGCCGTTTCTGTCAAGAGCTCTCTCAGCCCCACCTACCTCTCAGGGTGCCTGTTGTGGGGAGGGGAAGGGAAAGGACTTTGTAAGCCGCTCCGAGACTCCTTCGGGTAGGGAAGGGCGGGATATAAATCCAATCTCTTTTTCTTCTTCTACCTATGGGACCATTTCCACTGTGGTGAAATACCCCGCATTGACATTTTAAAAACTGCATGCTATGTGAAATTTTCCACAGTCGATTTTTCCTCACCAGGCACAAACCCAAAGTTTTCTCCTTCTTACCCCGCGTTTTTGGAACTCGCTAAAACTGGGGATCACGAAAATGCGAGGTAAGAAGGAGAAAACTTTAGGTTTGCATCTGGTGAAGAAAAATCTACTGCGGGAAATGTCACGTAATGCACAGTTTTTAAAATGTCAATGTGGGGAATGTCACCACTGCAGAAATGGTCTGGGTATCTGCCCGCCGTTTGTATTTGTGGGTGTTTCAGCTCTCTTGAATATGTAAGGAACCGCTAGCCTCTGGAGATGGGTGGAACTCCTTTCCCTGGTTGCTCAGAGAGAGATAACTTATCTGCGGGATGCCGCTTGGCTCTTATCACTAATATTTACTTGGAAGTCAGACTCCCAAGTCGGGGATGGAATTCATATGCGAAGATGACTGGGTAGTTCTTGAGCCAATAAGAGGAAGTCGGCGCTCTCTGGGAAGGTTCGTCAGAATTTGTCGGTATCTTGCGCAGCGGAGTCCTTGCCCGTGCAGAGTTCTCAGGGCCTGGGGGACCACTGTCATCCACTTTCCCCAGGAATCTTGGGAAGTGTAGTTTTGGAAGGAGCCTGAGACCTCTAGCAAAGTCTTCCCAGAGGGGGTAGTAGAAAGTGCCGTCAAGTCACAGCTGATTTATGGCAACCCGGTAGAGTTTTCAAGGCAAGAGACAGACAGAGGTGGTTTCCCATTGCTTGCCCCCAGGGCTCATTTCCTGCAGGAGCGCACAGGAGCAGAGCTCTGGCAGTAAAGAGCCCAGGGGGCGGGCACATGCAACAAGCCCCACCCCCTGTTCCCAGCATCCCTCAATTAGAGCAAGAAGCAGCCAGATAAGTTGCAGAGTCCCCCCCCCGCCCCCCCGGTCCAAAACAGTCCAGTGGCACCTTTAAGACCAAGTTTTATTCAGGGACAAGCTCTCCCTCCTCTGCGAGGGCAGATCTGCACATCCCCCCCCCATAGCTAGCCATCCAAAACAGTCCAGTGGCACCTTTAAGACCAAGTTTTATTCAGGGACAAGCTCTCCCTCCTCTGCGAGGGCAGATCTGCACATCCCCCCCCCATAGCTAGCCATCCAAAACAGTCCAGTGGCACCTTTAAGACCAAGTTTTATTCAGGGACAAGCTCTCCCTCCTCTGCGAGGGCAGATCTGCACATCCCCCCCCCATAGCTAGCCATCCAAAACAGTCCAGTGGCACCTTTAAGACCAAGTTTTATTCAGGGACAAGCTCTCCCTCCTCTGCGAGGGCAGATCTGCACATCCCCCCCCCATAGCTAGCCATCCAAAACAGTCCAGTGGAGCCTGAGCGGTGGATGTTGCCTTCTGACACACTTACGGTGATGTCAGGGGGTGTGGCATATGCAAATAAGTCATGCTAATGAGTTATGCTAATGAGCTCCTGCACTTCTTTTTCTATGAAATGACCCCTGACTACCTTCATTGTAAGCCGCCTCCAGCAGGTCTTGGGAAAGGCAGCATATAAGTGCGCTCAGTTAGTGGATCTCACTCCGCAGGTCACAGAAGGCCTCGTTGGGAATTGTCATCAGCCTAATACAGCCACCTCCACATAGGGTTGCCAGGGGTAGGTTAAGAAACTCCTGGAGATTTGGGGATGTAGCTCTGGTTGTCAGCTCTGGGTGGGGAAATGCCTGGTGGTGGAGCCTAAAAAGGGCGGGGCTTGAGGAGGGGAGGAACTTCAGCAGGGTACGATGCCACAGAGTCCACCCTCCAAAGCAGCCATTTTCCCCAGGGGACCTGATCTCTGGCCAGTTTGGTGTAGTGGTGAAGTGCGCGGACTCTAATCTGGGAGAAGCGGGTTTGATTCCCCACTCCTCCACTTGCACCTGCTGGATGACTTTGGGCAAGCTGTAGTTCTGATAAGAGCTGTCCTTGAAAAAGAGCAGTTTCTGTCAGAGCTCTCTCAGCCCCACCTACCTCTCAGGGTGTCTGTTGTGGGGAGGGGAAGGGAAAGGAGTTTGTAAGCCACTCTGAGACTCCAAGTGAAGAGCGGGGTATAAATCCAGTCTCCTCTTCTTCTTCTTCTCTGTTGTCTGGAGACAAATTGTAATAGCAGGAGAGCTGTTCCAGGCCCCACCTGGAGGTTCAGCACCAAACACCCGGGAAACACGGCAAGGTTGAGTAAACGTGGGGAAACACCGTGTTCAAACAAAACACGCAATTCTGATATGCCACTGTGCCTTCATGTATTTGTTTAAATCGTATACTTAAATATACAATAAAGACCCTAGTGTATCTTATTGATTATAGCACAGTGATAGCAAAAACCTAAGGAACAATATATACCTTGTAGAAAAGTCCACAGCTGCAGAGACGAACATGCAGAAGAAGAAGAAGAAGAGATTGGATTTATACCCCGCCCTTCACTTGGAGTAGGGTCCACACACTTAACCACTTAACCACTACACAGACAGGATTCAATGCCATAAACTATCTTGATTTCAGATGAGCGATGCAGCAGTTGTCAATGCCAATACTGTCGGCTGTTTTGCTTTCCGAAAAGAGGTGCAGCAAGCATCGATGCAACACGCCTCCCAGGCAAAAGTTGTGCGTTTCGAGAGATTCGTCTCCCGGCAGATTATTTTCCTTGGAACCAAAGCTCACAATGCTACAATGCACAAGTCAAACAACTCTGTAGAAGGCTTCTCTGGTTCTCAATAAGATACACCAGGGTCTTTATTGTACATTTAAGTATATGATTTAAACAAATATATGAAGGCACAGCAGCATATCAGAATTGCGTGTTTTGTTTGAACACGGTGCTTTTCCACGTTTACCCACCTGGAGGTTGGCAACCCTAGGTGAATGCTGGGGTGGGTGAGCTTTGGGGGAGGGGCGGGACTCCAGCAGGGTACAATGCCACAGACCCCGCCCTCCGAGGCATCCCTTTTCTCCAGAGGAACTGATTCCTAGTCTGGGTATCAGTTGTAATTCTGGGAGGACTCCAGGCCCCACCAGGAGGCTGGTAACCCTGCTTCCATCCCCAGTGTGAGGCCTGCACCTTAGGGAGGCTTGTGCCTCATCTGTTCTCCTAGTTGCAGCCCAGGGGGCCTTGCCCAGATTCCTAAAAGATGGGGCAGGTGCCAGGTTGGGGAATGGTGCTCAGTAGAGCCACATACGGCCTCCCGAACCACGGGTGTCTAGGTGTTATCTCCTGGACTGAGATGCCTCTCTCTGTCTTAACCTGGGAGCTGTCCTCTGACCCCTCCTCCCTCCCTCTCTCTCTCTCTCTCTCGCTTTGTCCTCTCCCTCTCATCTCATGGCCTTCCATGGAGACACATGTCTCTGCATCACTCTAAGGGTGTCTAGGTGTTATCTCCTTGACTGAGATGCCTCTCTCTGTCTTAACCTGGGAGCTGTCCTCTGACCCCTCCTCCCCCCCCTCTCTCGCTTTGTCCTCTCCCTCTCATCTCATGGCCTTCCATGGAGACATATCTCTCTGCAGGTCTCTCCTGTAGATACGATTCCCTCATACTCCCACACACACACGATGCCGGACAAGCTGGCTATTTGCGTCACGTCTGTGACTGGGCAAAACTCTGCTGTATTAACCGAATGTCCCAGTAAGTATCAGTGTGCAAAACCAATAAGTAAATAATCCCAGAAGGCAGGTGTGGGGCCTTTTGCTGGCTTGCTCGTCCCCTTGTCTTTTCCTCTCCCTGTCTCCTTTGCTCCTGGTCCCGTCTCTGCCTCGCGACTGACGTCTTCTGTGGTTCTGTGACTCGCGCTGCCGGCCATCTGACAACCTAGCCTCTTCTTTGCCTTCTCTGTTTGCAGCTGCATATGGGGCCGAAGGCTTTAGGGACTTCCACGCCATCCTCCCCAAATCCTTTTCCCGTAAGTATACTGTGCATGTGTTGTTTGCGTATGACAAAGCTTTCCGTTTTCCCACCTCGCACGTTTCATTGCTTATCACTCGCGCCCGCTCCTTGGCCTGCATTGTGCAGCCCTTGAGTGGTCCGTGTATTTATTTCCCTTTCTGTTCTCTGGCTTGCAGCTTGCAAGTTTTTTCCCCTCATTATTGTCACACATGGCTAAACTGCTTAAAGGGGAGACTTATTTGCCTGTTAGTGTTAATTGATTGCTGCGGGAGAGGGGGAGGGCCGGACGATGCTTCGGAGCGATAGCAGTGTCTCCTCAAAAAACAGCCCGTAATGAGATCCTTTGCCAATGCTGGCTGAGAAGCCCGTTGTAAAAGGCCACCAAAATTAAAGTGTTTTTCCTTCCCATTCAGGCAAGTGGGGGAATTCAGCATATGCCCAAAATCCAGTGGGATTTAGAAGTGTTTAGCTGTAATTTAGAACTTTCCCTGCACCCTCTATTTCAAGAACTGGTGTAAAATAGTGGCTCAGCGTCCGATCTTCCTGGCTGAAATCTGTCTTTATAACAACAATTGATTGGCACAGTAATGAGATAATACGGAGAACAAGAAAAACTGTGAGAAAGTGACGCTTAATATATGTCTTTAAAGAATCATAGAAAAGTGAACAAAAATAATATACATGATCATAGAAAAATATATATTGACGGTGATCTCCGGAATGTCTTGCCGTTTCGAAGGAAGATCTTCTTCTGAACAAAGATGTGGGACAAAAACTGTCTCTCAATAGTTCATATCCTCCGGTGACGTCTCACAATTATCAAGGAAGATTTTCGATAATCGTACCAGCTGTAATGTATAGTAGAACCTGCCATGGGCTAAGATGACTGTAATGCTCCTGGCAGGTTCTATCTTCTATGATTCTTTAAAGACATATATTAAGCGTCACTTTCTCACAGTTTTTCTTGTTCTCCGTATGAAATCTGTCTTTGCCATGAACTCACAGGGGCTGCATTCAGAGGTCCATTTGGCGGTGGTGAGCTGGGCTCTTGGGTTGCCAGCTACGGGTTGGGAAATTCCTGGAGAGTTGGGGGTGGAGCTTGAGGAGGGTGGGGTCTGGGGAGGGGAGGGACCTCAGCTGGGTACAGCGCCCTAGAGTCCAACCCTCCAAAGCAGCCATTTTCTCCAGGGGAGCTGATCTCTGTAGTCTGCAGTTCGATTCCAGATGGGGTCGCCAGACCCACGGTCCAGCCAGGGGATCCCCCAGTCTTCGGGGCTCCAAGCCCCACCTCCTGTCACGATGACATCACCCGGAAGTGACGTTGTCACTTTGCCGATGTCGGAGGGGACGCTCTAGTTTTGGGGCAAACTCTATGGCTTTGGGGGCAGAAAACCATAGAGCTTGGCCAAAAAAAACCCCCTAGAGCATCACGCACCCCCAGTGGTGACATCATCACGGCACGTGCACTTTGTGCACAACTGAAGATCCCGAATGGCAGCCTGGAGCCCCCCACTGGGAGCAAGATAGAACCTGGCAATGGGCAGCCATAGCTCATGTGCATGCCGGGCTCATCCACCACCACCCCGCCCCCATTTTTGCACAGAGTACAATGAAAGAATAGTGACTTAAGAATAACTCTGGTCCCCAGTAATGTGTGAATGCAGGTGCACAGCGTAACCAGAGTTATTTTTTCTCCCAAAAGTTTGGGGTCCCTAGTCATCCTAGTATAGGATCCCATTTAGTGGGAAGGAACATGAGCTCCAGCTAAAAGTCACGTGCCTGCATTTGTTTGTCATGGTTACAACCTAAGTATGTTAAAAACATAAGAACACAAGAAGAGCCCTGCTGGATCAGGCCAGCGGTCCCTCTAGTTCATCACCGTGTCTCACACAGAGGCCAACCAGTTCCTCTGGAGGGCCGACAACAGGGCACAGAGGCCGAGGCCTTCCCCTGATAAGAACACAAGAAGAGTCCTGCTGGATCAGACCAGTGGTCCACCTAGTCCAGCCTCCTGTCTCACACAGAGGCCAACCAGTTCCTCTGGAGGGCCGACAACGGGGCATAGAGGCAGAGGCCTTCCCCTCATAAGAAAATAAGAAGAGCACTGCTGGATAAGACCAATGGTCCATCTAGTCCAGGATCCTGTCTCACACAGTGGACAACTGGTTCCTCTGGAGGGCCGACAACAGGGCACAGAGGCCGAGGCCTTCCCCTGATAAAGAACATAAGAAGAGCCCTGCTGGATCAGATCAATGGTCCATCTAGTCCAGCATCCTGTCTCACACAGAGGCCAACCAGTTCCTCTGGAGGGCCGACAACGGGGCATAGAGGCCGAGGCCTTCCCCTGGTGCTGCCTCCTGGCTCTTGGATCCAGAGGCTTAGTGCCTCTGAACGTGGAGGTTCCCCTCAGTCACCATGGCTAGTAGCCATTGACAGACATCCTCCATGAATCTATCTAGCCCCCTTTTCAAGCTGTTTTATTCCTGTGGCCATCACTGCATCCTCTGGCAGCAAACTCCACATTTTAATCACGCTCGGTGTAAAGCTGTATTTCCTGTCGCCCTTCCTGAACCTACCACCCGCCCCTCAGCTTCATTGGATGCCCCCGAGTTCTAATGTTTTGGGAGATGGAGAAAAAGTTCTCTTAACTCTGTCCATCCCGTGCGTAATTTTATAAACCTCTGTCATGCCCCCCCCCCGCCCCCAACCTAGTTGTCTCTTCTCTCATCCGGAAAGTCCCGGGCGTTCCACCGGGTAAGCAGTGTCGGGTGGACTGAGCATCATGGCTAAGTCAGGATTCGAACTCAGGTCTCCTAGTCTGGGAGTCTGACCGCTACACCGTGCTGGCCCGCCAGCTCTAGATGGCCTCTGGTTTTACTGCCTGCCTGGGACTACAAAAGCTAGGCTTGCCAGCTTCCAGGTGGGGCCTGGAAATCTCCCAGAAATACAATTGAGCTCCGGACTACAGAGGTCAGTCCCCCTGGAGAAAATGGCAGCTTTGTAAGGCAGGCTCTAGGGCACTGTACCCCACAGAGGTCCCTCCCCCAGGCTCTACCGCCCAAACCTCCAGGCATTTCCCAACCTGGAGTTGGCAACCCTCGCAAAAGCAGAGCAAGGGATTTCAGACCCTGTCTTGCCAAAATAGGTAGACCACATTCGGCTTGATGGCTTACAAGTAGCGTTGCCAGCTCTGGGTTGGGAAACCAGAGGTCATTTCGGGGGGGGATCGCAGTTCCCCCGGGTGAGGTACGGGGGGCGGGGCACATGACGAAGCCCCGCCCCCTGCTTCCGGCCGCCCCGCTTCCGGCCCTCATTCAGCCAGGAGGAGGCAGGAGAAGAGGGAGGGTAAGTTGCTTCCTCCCTGCCTCTCCCCACCCCTGCCTGCCTGGGGCCAGGGAGGGCCTTCGCGGGGCTTCCTCGCACTCCCGCTGGCCTTGCAGGTCCACCGCCAGGCCCCTCATGGGGCTCCTAATGAGTTCCCCTAGCTCTTTTTCTACGAAACGACCCCTGTGGGAAACATTTGGGGGTTTGGGGGGTGGAGCCTGAGGAAGGCGGGATTTGGGGAAGGAAGGGACCTCGGCAGGGTAGAATGCCCTAGAACCCCCCCTTCCGAGCAGCCGTTTTCTCCTGGGGAGCTGATCTGGGTCATTTGGAGATCAGTTGTAATAGAGGGAGATCTCCAGGTGCACCCTGGAGGTTAGCAACCCTACATACAAGTCAGGACCAAACTAGACGTTTTCACAGGAAGCTGCCCCAAAAGGCAACATCTTGTGTAGCCCTTATTGTCTCCGGAGCTGCAGGAAGTAATCCTGGCTGGGCGTGAGGCCGCCGCGTCACGTGGTCTTAATGATGCTTGATAGCCCTCCTGGTTTTGCACTTATTGTGGGACTTCCTAATGCAGACACGAGCCTTGGAGTTATCCATGTAGATGGATTCTGGAGGGCAGCCATGTCAGTCCGAAGCAGTCGAACAAAGTTAGAGTCCAGCGGCACCTTTAAGAGCAACAAAGTTTAATTCTGGATATCAGCTTTCGTGTGCATGCACACTACCCAGCTGATACCCAGAATCAGGGGTCATTTCGTAGAAAAAGAGGGGCAGGGGCTCATTAGCAAAACTCATTAGCATAATTTATTTGCATATGCCACACCCTCTGACATCACCGGAGGTGTGTCAGAAGGCAACACCCACCACTCAGGCTCCATTGGACTGTTTTGGATTGCTAGCTATTGGGGGGGGGGAGAACGTGCAGATCTGTCCTCATAGAGGAGGGAGAGCTTGTACCTGAACAAAACTTGGTCTTAAAGGTGCCACTGGACTGTTTTGGATTGCTAGCTATCGGGGGGGGGGGAACGCCCAGATCTGCCCTCACAGAGGAAGGAGAGCTTGTACCTGAAGGTGGGCCGGGGGAGGGGGCTCTGCAATTTATCTGGCTGCTTCTTGCTCCTCGTGGCCCGACTGAGGGCTGCTGGGAGCAGGGGGCGGGGCTTGTTGCATGTGCCCACCCCCTGGGCTCCTTACTGCCGGAGCGCCGCTCCTGTGCGCTCCTGCAGGAAATGACCCCTGCCCAGAATTACACTTTGTTGCTCTGAAAGGTGCCACTGGACTCAAACTTTGTTCTGGCTATCCACCCAGTAATCATTGCCCGATGTTTCCCAATGCTTTTGCAATAATCCCCTTGCGCCCCTCAGAAATGTCAAGCACCTCGACTGGCTTGTGTTAATCCATTCTTGCCGGGTGGTGCGTCCGCCTCCATTGTTTCTCTGCCGCAATGTCTTTGATTGTCTCTTTTAAAAGCACCATGCACTGAGTGGCACCCCTCTGTTGTTTCTTTCAGCCAGTAATGTTAAAATAGAGACACAGAGTGATGAAGAGAATGGGCGTGCCTGTGAGATGAATGGGGAAGAATGTGCGGAGGATTTACGAATGCTTGATACCCCGGGAGAGAAAATGAATGGCTCACACAATGGCGGCAAAGCCATGTCAGGCGTTGGAGGCATTCGGCTCCCAAACGGAAAGCTAAAGTGTGATATCTGTGGGATAATTTGCATCGGCCCCAATGTTCTTATGGTTCACAAGAGGAGCCACACTGGTAAGGCCTGGCAGAGTTTCTTTTTTTTTTTTCTCCTTTAGTCACGGCAAAGTTTGGCACATCAGGAGGAAGAGATTTATTCACGAGAGTCTTCAGAGCGTGTCATTTCTTGCTTTGTATGTGGATGTTTGTTGTTTTCCATCTCACGCAAAAGAGCACTTCTTCCGTGCACCAAACTTATTCCTTGGGCACCCTCCTTCAGTATGGGAAAGAGATGTGTTCTGGAAACTTCCACAAGTACGGTTGGATCCAAGCAGCTTTTCCACTGGTGAAAAAGGGAGGAGGAGGAGGAGGTCCCCTTTGACCACCCCAAAGGCTCTGCTGGGAATCATGGGAAATACCTGGACCAAAGCGGTATCAGATGGGGGACATAGTAAGGCGGGGTTTATGATGACCCCAGAGGGTTTCAAGGCGAGTGATTCAGCAGAGGTGGTCGGCCATCTTTGCCTTCCTTTGCAAAGTCTTCTTTGGTGGTCTCCCTTCCAAGTACTGACCCTGCTTAACTGCCAAGATCTGATGAGATCAAGCTATAGCCGAGGTGGCCCAACTTGCTTAACGTAACAGCCACACAGAATAAACGTCAGATGTTTGAGAGCCGCAAGACATGGACAGATATTATGTTTTTATTGGGAAATACGCAAATTTGCTTGTTATTAACATTAAATGTGAAAGAGCCGCATGCGGCTCCCGAACTGCAGTTTGGCCACCCCTGAGCTACAATATACCGTTCCACAGCCCACAATGTGGGCTTCCTGTATTTTACAATAAAGAATTGTAATGGAAAATTTCGGTGAATTGAAGTAATGAGAGATTTTAAAAATAGATTGTCTGATTCTCCCCCTACTCACAAAAAGCTTCAGTCTTGATGACACTGTTAATCGATATAATTCACAATCTTAAATATATATCCATTTCTGTCTTCAGGCATATTGTTTAAAATGATTTCCCAAACATTAGGAACAAAAGACACTTGCACTGTCGCACTACATCAAGAAGGGCACGTGCCAAATGTGTTGTTTGGCTAAAGGGAACTGTTATTTTTATAAGTGTAATAATGTAATGATCTCGATTAAGATCTAAATAATTCACTGGACACTGGGTTAATTGGTTAAAAGCAACACCATTTATACAGTGAAAATCCGTTCTGATTTGCGTATGCTAGAAAGCCTGCTTCGATTCTGCTAATCAATAAATGGTGTTGCGGATGTTGTTACTCCGTGTGTTATGCAACACAGGGACCAGAAATACTCAACAAAACCAAAAAACACTACTTGGGATAGTTCAGTGGGGTGGTTGGAGTGTACCCCTTGGTGGTTACTTCTTAATTATGGTATTAACATGTCGTTTCAACATATCTATTGTTTTGACAGTCGGGGAATAATTTGCTTTTTCTTTGCGGGTGAATCTGTTCCCATCTGCAAACAAATTCGTCAGGTGTGAGATGACATTCGGAGCATTTCAAGGGGTCAAACGAGCAATTTCCAAAAACAAACATATAGTAAATTTATATCCCTTTATATAAATGGAGATAAGGGTTTACCGATGACGCATTAAGCAGATATTTTTATTTGAAATTGATTTGAATCTTCCTGTTTCTATTGAAAAACGATTACATGCATGAGAAACTTCTGTTCACGAATCAAAATGATCTCATAGAACAAAACAGGGAATGATCAATAAACCTGGAAGGGGGGGGGAACGGTAATCAGGGCTCTTTTGATACCAGGAGCTCCTTTGCATATTAGGCGACACCCCCCTAATGTAGCCAATCCTCCCAGAGCTTACAGAGCTCTTCTCACAGGGGCTACTGTAAGCTCTTGGAGGATTGGCTACATGAGGGGTGTGTCGCCTAATATGCAAAGGAGTTCCTGCTACAAAAAAGCCCTGAATAATAAAAGTGTCCCAGAAGGAATATTGGTAAAGGGAGCACCAAAAATCATGGGAAATCGAATAGCTTCGTAAGTAGGTTTGTAGACGGAATAAACTGGGGTCATAGGCTGAAACCCTAATATACTGGTGCTACAACTGTCTCAGAAAATTTTGTTACAAAGCTAGTAAACAATGGTTTAGTAGATGGTGGCTTAGGAGACAAGCGTGGCGGAAGCCAAATCCGGTGGTCAATCAGTCCTGATAAGTGTTGTCACCTGAAATGGTTTTTAAAAAGAGGCTTGTTCAAAGAGCTCACCTCTGCATAGCAAGAGAAAAGGTCAATTATGTACAAGGTTTCCCCTTTCAAGAGGGGAGACAGTACAGTAGGGCCCCCCAACATGGCGCTTGTGGATGCCACGGTGCCTCCCAACACTTTTTTAAAAGTGGGTGGGGCCAGATGGGGCGTTTGTCCAGCAAGGTTTCTGATTGGCCATTGGAGATTTGATTGGCTGTGCAGATTTTTAAAAAGGGTTGCTTTGGCGGCAGCTGCCACCACGACACAGAGATCTTTACTGTATGACTAGCAGCCATTTTGTGCTTGGCTGCCCCCCCCCCCCCCCCGCGGCCATTTTTTTGTAAAATTGGTGCCCCCAGGATCGAGAAGGCGGGGGACCTCTGCAATACAGTACATATTGTACTCAGGAGGGGGGTGTTTATATTTCACAATTAATGCTTCGGAAGAATGGTTACAGTGAGCTTGATTTATAATTTATATTTTTATGTCATCATTTAGGATGGTTACCCCTGCTGTATGTTATGAAGGATTTGTCTAATTTTTTTAATAGTATACTGCATATACTCTGAGGGAGTAGTCCTAAACTCATCTTCTTGGAAAGGCGGCCAGTTTTGTTCATTGGGATTTATTCCCCGTGAGGCTGTGATCACACGCACACGAAATAATCCACTTTCAATCCACCTTCAGTGCACTTTCCAACTGGATTTTACTGTGTGTGAACTTGCAAAATACAGTTGGAAAGTGCATCGAACGTGGATTGGAAGTGGATTATTTAGTGTGTGTGATCGCAGCTGTAGGATGTGGGTACCTGTGGCAATATTGACATTTTGGCTTGAATCAGGGGTCATTTCGGGGGGGAACACGGGGGAACGCAGTTCCCCCGGGTGAGGTACGGGGGGTGGGGCACATGATGAAGCCCCGCCCCCTGCTTCCGGCCGCCCCGATTCCGGCCCTCATTCAGCCAGGAGGAGGCAGGAGAAGAGGGAGGGTAAGTTGCTTCCTCCCTGCCTCTCCCCACCCCTGCCTGCCTGGGGCCAGGGAGGGCCTTCGCGGGGCTTCCTCGCACTCCCGCCGGCCTTGCAGGTCCACCGCCGGCCCCTCATGGGGCTCGGCAGTGGAGCAGCAAGGCTGGCGGTGATGCTAATGAGTTATGCTAATGAGTTCCCCTAGCTCTTTTTCTACGAAACGACCCCTGGCTTGAATATAATTAGACAATAAGTATTTTGTGGGATGCCATAATTTTTGTTTGTTTTTCATTTCAAAATTACATAAATACACATTTTCATAGGGGGAATTCCAAATACCCTTTGACCCCCACTTCGACTTTCAACCAAGGGTGCCCATGCTGAAGAAAACATACCTTTCGCGCAGAATGTGACTAATTTTACAATTGAGGTTTGTTGATATAAACCAGGGCATACATCCAGGGGTCATTTCGTAGAAAAAGTAGTGCAGGAGCTCATTGGCATAACTCATTTGCATATGCCACACACCCTGACATCACTGGAAGTGTGTCAGAAGGCAACACCCACCGCTCAGGCTCCACTGGACTGTTTTGGATTGCTAGCTATTGGGGGGGGGGGAAAACGCGCAGATCTGCCCTCACAGAGGAGAGAGAGCTTGTACCTGAAGGCAGGCCGGGGGAGGGGGGCTCTGCAACTTACCTGTCTGCTTCTTGCTCCTCGTGGCTCGACTGAGGGCTGCTGGGAGCAGGGGGTGGGGCTTGTTGCATGTTCTCGCCCCCTGGGCACCTTACTGCCAGAGCTCCGCTCCTGTGCGCTCCCGCAGGAAATGACCCCTGCATACATCACCTGGAAGTGACGGAGGTGACATCAGGGGCGACACTCTGGTTTCAGGGCAAAACTGTATGCTAAAATCAGCCTCAAACCACAGAGTTTTGCCCCAAAACCAGAGCGTCGACCCCCACCTACATCAATTCTGGGTGATGTAGGCACGGCACGTCGTGTTTATTTCTGGCAGCATCGCTATGTTGGGGAGGATTTCCTCCCAATGGCCAGGTGGCCAGCGGTGGGCAGGAGTCTGCAAAGCCAGAGGATCCCCCTCCCCCAACTGGGAAATGACAACCCTACATGCGACAAGAAAGCAGCTCTCTTAGTCCTTCCTACCAACCCTGTCCAGCTAGGGATGCCAACCTCCAGGTGGGACCTGGGGATCCCTTGGAATTACAGCTTACCTCTAGACTACAGGGATCAGTTCCCCTGGAGAAAATGGATGCTTTGAGGGGGTGGGCTCTGTGACACTGTATCCCACTGAGGTCTCTCCCCCAGCCAGGCGCCACCCCCAAATCTCCAGGAGTTTCCCAGCCTGGATCTGGCAACCCCATGTTCAGCTGGAGCCGTGAGACTGAAAAGTGGCACACAGGATGCGTTTCGGGGTCGTGTGACTGATGAAGGCATAAGGCTTGCAAAGCCAAGCCGCTTATTCAAGCAAAGCCTATACACCCCATAGACTGCGACGTTCTCCTAAATAAATGTTTGATAAATGAATCAAATGCTGGCATTGGAACTGCCAAACGGTGACGAACGGCCGGCCCTCGTTAAAAGACATAATTACATTTAATAGACACGCCTGCCAAAGGCAGATATGCGGAATAAGTACCGGATATTTCCCAGCCATTATTACGTTTTTTTAAAAAAGGTTCTATAGCAAACAGAACTGATCCGGCGCTTCGCACCCACTCACCCCCCCCTCCCTTCCTGGAATGGAATTCTTATTTGTAAGTACCTGACAGGGGCTCCCTTTCCAGGCTTTGAAGAAGGGCCGAAATCCCCGGCTGCAGCTGGTCCAACCTGCAGAAAATGCAGTCAGCCTTTGTGCTCCTTTAACCTTCATTTCTGAAAACTGCGAGTGTCCTCTTTGTGATTTGAGAGGTTGGCCCGGATCTGTTTGGTGACCCCGTACAAGCCGGTCTGTTTTGTGCAGAACTGTGTGAATCGTCCAACACGCTAGGGATTCGGGCTGCCGACCGGCCTGGAGAAAAACACCCTGTCCCTGTAAGGGAGGCTCCATGGGGTTTTATTTCCCTCCATGCCACGAAAAGCTTTGGTCGGCCCATTACCGCGCATCCGGTGTTAAAACGACAGGCTGTTTCTCTCCAGGTCTGTTGGCAACCTTGGCTAGGAAACTTTTACGCAAAAGGCTTTACCATGGCCAGGCCTGAGTACGAAGAATGCAGGAACTTACATTAAGGTTTTTTTTGGGGGGTGGCGGTGTCAGCATAAAGCTAAAAAACTCTGTGTGGTGTAGTGCCAGTCTAAGAGCCAGTGTAAGGTAAAGGTAAAAGGTTCCCTTGCTTGAAAGCCAGTCGAATCCGACTCTAGGGTTGCGGTGCTCATCTCCGTTTCCAAGCCAAAGAGCCGGCGCTGTCCGAAGACGTTTCCGTGGTCATGAGGCCGGCATGACTAAACACCAAGGCGCAGGGAACACTGTTACCTTCCCACCGAAGTGGTACCTATTTATCTACTTGCAATTTCTTCCTTTCGAACTGCTAGGTTGGCAGGAGCTGGGACCAGTGTGGTATAGGGGTTAAGAGCATCAGACTAGGATCTGGGAAACCCAGGTTCGAATCCCCCCTCTGCCACGGGAGCTCGCTGGGTGGCCTTGGGCCAGTCACGCACTCTCAGCCTAGCCTACCTCACAGGGTTGTTGTGGAGGTTAAATGGAGGATAGGTGAACAATGCAAGCCTCTTTGGGTCCCCATTGGGGGGGGGAAGGTGGGGTATAAATGGATTAAATAAATATAAATTATAAGAATAATGCGTTCGATCAAAAAGTGTATTCAGAATAGACAGATTTTTTTGCTTTGGTAAGGATCCGCTTGCCTTGAACAGCTGCAAGGAAGAGATAAATCTAGCAGCTGATTTGAATTGCATGTCTGAAGGCTCCTCCACATTGAGAGAGAGAGAGAGAGAGCGCCGTCGGCCCATGGAAAGTTAGTGTATCAGCAAGAAGGGTTCTTGCATAAGCTTCACGCAACAGGCGCTGCATCTCTTAAATAACTTAGCTGTTCCCACGAGATCCAAAAGGAATCATGTGCAGTCAGCGTAAAAATGGCTCCTTTTTTCCCTCTGAGAAAAATATCCCCCTTCCCAGCCACCTTCCAGTAACTTGGGTGGAGTCTAGACAGAGTAAGGGCAGCCCTCGCTCTGGAGTTGGCTTTATGATTTCATCTCACGGCTGACCCTGATAGGCTGTGTGGCTTTGTGACCTGAGCACATTTACAACGGGCTCCTTAACTGGCTGGACTCCTAGCTGTAGGAACAAACACATTCAGTTTTAAAAAACGATGCCAGCAACAGCAGCGGAGAAAGACTGTGGAAATGGCAGATAACCATGGGTTAAGGGGTCATTTTGGAGCCCCTTTTCATCTTGAAAATGTTCATTCAGCGCAACTCTACGCTTATCGGGACTGATGTTGAAACGTCTAGTTCCTTTGCCCCTTCAACTTGTTTTCCAGGGTGTTGCCTTAGCTAGCAACATCCCAAGTTATTTCTTCATTGACAGCAACTTTCTAAAGTATTCCGCTTCGTGGTTTCTCTTGCATTTTCCCTTTAAACTGTAAAATACATGCTTTATAAGATTTGGGGCTTTCACGGGTGTCAGTGGATTGCAGTTTCAGTATTGGTTTCTGTCTATCTGTCCGTCAGCGTTTAGCACACAACCTAACAGTGAAAGTCACAGGTCAAAAAGTAATTTCCCTTACTTGGCACGATCACCCTTTTCTAAGTTCCAAATGAACACTCCCCCCACAAACAACTTACAAATTATAAATGGCTTCTTTGGTGTTCGCTGCCTGCACAGATGTAGGGCCAATGTAGGATTACCAGATGTCCTTTTTAAAGAGGACATGTCCTCTTTTGGGCTCTTTAAAAAAAACACTGATGAAAATGTCCTCTTTGGGGGTGGGAAGTTTAGGAAAATTCCTAGTTAGTAACAATTATAACAGCTGAAATAGTAAGGGTATTTAACATGAGTTTTGTCACAGTGATCACCTGTTTGAAGTTAGTTGGAAATGTGACCTCGTTTTTTGCTTTTCAACATGTGGTAACCCTAGATATTCTCAAGGAGGAGCGCTTTCAAAGTGATGTTACTTAACTTCATACCATGAAAAAATTTCAGTGGCCCATTTCTGCATATGAAACCTCTATTAAAGGACAAGGTATTTTTTTTCCCCTGGCCAGTTGGCAACTTTAAATACAGGCAGAAACCACACATTCTAAACTCTATTTGCTGCATTCTTCCCCCCCCCCTTTCTTTTTGGATTTACTTCTGTGCTTTGCCAATAGCCAGGCACACAGGAGTTTAGCAGATAAAGATTTTCCTGGCACTGAGAGCCATGGTAGAAAAAGTTCACTCGCTTATCTCTGTAGAAATGCTTTTCACTAGCCATTTTCTCCAGCATTGGCACCGTTTACTCCCACTTATTCCTGCAAAGCCTACTACCGACATTCACCCTAAGAATTTGAATTCTTGTGTTTTCCCTACCGGCCTCTCACTTTTTTCAAGTGCTGGTTTTAAGGCTCCTAGAGACTTGCTGATTGTCCGAGGCTGTCGCAGTTCTAGCAGATCAAAAAGGACTGGCCATCCCAACTATTTCCTTAAGACAGGTGGCGGCAGTTATTGTAAGCCATCCCACAACTTTTAAAAAGACATCTAGATGGAGTTTGGGGCAATATGCACATTTGTAATTTATTGAACAGAGTAACCTGACAATTGGTTAAGAAATTGACAAAACTCATTCAGTTTAAGAAAAGAAAAGAAAAGAAATTATTTGCTCCATTGACGGAGGTAATGCAAGCCTTTAGGCCAAAGCAGAAGAGCCTCTCTCCACCCAACGGCAATCGTAATGATAAAATAATCCAATTTAGAAATCTTCGTGTTGCCAATCAGACTGGGTAAAGTCTGCTGATTGACATAGATAATTCTGGACTTCTGTCTCTCCTCAAATAGGAGGAAACAAAGGACCAAAGGAGGACACTCTTGCGATTTCTGTGTCAATAAGTATCTTGTGTTCAAGGAGAGCTGGGATTCTGGGCGGAAGAAACAGTTTCCTTTGCACTGTCTTAAGTTCTCTTTTTAGTGGTGTGTCTCTTCCCCCCCCCTCCCCTTCCTTTTTCTTCTCTGTCTCTTCCCTGATTTGGCTGCTTAGGCACAGCCAGGTAATGGAGAAGAAATTGAAAGGGAAAATACGGGGAAAATGTAAATGAAAAGAAGTTATTATAACTGTTATAATGAAGTGCCTTTCATTTAAATATAAGAATGTAACGCTGAAATGAACTTGTGATCCTGAAATGCATTTTTAATGAGTTTCCTTTTTATTTTGCTGCTTCAGTGGCATATTTTAAAGACCCTTTGAAAAAAGCCACATTAAAAAAAAAAAAAACCCACCAAATGCCACAACATGCAAAATTGGATATTGGTTTATTCCAAAACTGCTGATCAGGAAGAGTGGCTCTTCAACACAAAATGTTGCAGTCACTTTATTTAAATGAGTTTGAATTTGCATTGTGATGTGCCATTCTGATTTAGAGAAAAAAAATTAGATTTTCAGATCAAATTGACCCAGCCAGTGAAGCGTTAAGCAACTGGCAGGTTTAGTCTGAAAAGCTCATGTTATATCAAACCTGCAGCTGGTGGAAGCCATGGAGCGCCAGTTGGGAAACAACTTTCTCGCTGAAATCTTCCTCCTGTTACAAGGTCGGAGTTCTGTTCTCACATATTTTTCCCCTCTCCTTCTCCCTTGTAGGCGAACGCCCCTTCCAGTGTAATCAGTGCGGGGCATCCTTTACTCAGAAAGGCAACTTGCTCCGCCACATCAAGTTGCACTCCGGTGAGAAGCCGTTCAAGTGCCACTTGTGTAACTACGCTTGTCGCCGGAGGGATGCTCTTACGGGCCACCTGAGGACCCATTCTGGTAGGTGTGCACGTCAGAGAATTCTAGAACAGGGGTCCCCCATGTGCTGCCTTTCCTGGCTCCCGCCGAGTGTTTTTACCAAATGGGTGGAGCCAAGTGGGGCTTTTGATTGGCTGTGCAGGCTCCACCAAGGCTTCCGATTGGCTGTGCAGATTTTTTTTAGAAAGTTGCTTTGGAGGCTCCTCGTTGTGTGACTGAAGGTAAGCTGCGGCGGCCATTTTGTGGCTAGTTCTGCCTCCTGCGGCAGCCATTTTGTGGCTGGGCCCACAAGGCTGTGTCAGAATTCCAGAGTCGCCCACAGGCTCAAAAAGGCTGGGGACCCCTTGGTGAGAGTGTCAGACTGGGATCTGGGAGACACGGGATCGAATCCTTACTCAGCCATGGAAACTCAGTAGGTGACCTTGGGTGGCCAGCCTCTAGGTGGGGCCCGGGGATCTCCCGCTTTTACAACTGATCTCCAGCTGACAGAGATCAGCTCCCCTGTAGAAAATGGCTGCTTTGAAGGGGGGGCTCTGTGGCATTGGACCATGCTCTCCCTAAACCCCACCCTCTCCCAGATCCTCCCCCAAAGTCTCCAGGTATTTTCCAAGCCAGAGTCGGCAACCCGAAGGTGACCTTGGGCCAGTCCCTCTCAGCCCAACCTACCACACGGGTTTGTTATTATGAGGATAAAACTGAGGAGAAGAAAACAATGTTGAAAGCTGGTTTGGGCCCTCCCTGGGGGGAAAAGCAGGGTGTGGAAATCTAATAAATAAAATATCTAAACAAGCTAGCATCACAACTGCTACAAGCAGAAAACCCTTCAGAAAAGTCATGATTTGTGGGAAAGCGGTTTGCATTTTTCACTTACGTTACAACAGTTGAAAATGATGTTAGTGCCTTACCTGCTAGATGTGCGGATTTTGTGTTTTACTCATTTGTTTATGCATTGTTATAACTCTGTTCATTGCTATGTACATTGTTATATACTGTTGAAATTTATATAAGACCTTTGCTGCTTCTGTTTTATATGTTTGTTGTATTTTTTGTACAGGTTAAAATAAAAAATATAAAGTTATTTAAAAAAAGAAAAAAGAAATCTAATACATAAACGAGTCCGGTTGTCCATTTCCTACTTCCGGGCAGACCATGAATGGCAGTGTTCCCTCTAAGCTGAGTTACTGTGAGCTAGCTCACAGGTTTTTAGCCTCCAGCTCACGGTTTTTTGTCTTCGCTCAGGAAGGATGGCTCCAGGGCAGGCTAATTTATGCAGGAGCCCAATCGCTCGCTCACAGCTTTAATGCCAGGAGCTCACAAAGTAGAATTTCTGCTCACAAGATTCCACAGCTTAGAGGGAACATTGATAAGTGTTTGCATCTACTCGGTTCACAGTTACTGTCAGGACTGTGTGGCCCAGCGTTTCATTTGGATCGCGAGGTAAATTCCATTTTTCCCTTTTTCAGTCGGCAAGCCCCACAAATGTGGATATTGCGGTCGGAGCTATAAGCAGCGGAGCTCTTTGGAGGAGCACAAGGAGCGCTGCCACAACTATTTGCAAACCATGACCCTCTCGGGCGGCCTTTATCCCGGTAAGAGAACTAAACAGAAAAGCACAATTAAACGTTTCCGTTTCATGTCCTGAACTGTACATTGCCAAAATCAGCCGGGTCAGTCCAGCTACACAAGCAACCCACGGCATCGATTGGCGCACCAATAGTTTTAGGGTCAACAATGCCGCAGCGGGTAGACTGATTGATTCGGGTGGGTAGCTGTGTTGGTCCGAAACGGCAGGACAAAGTTTGAGTCCAGTGGCAGTTTTACTCTGAGTATAAGCTTCCGTGTGCAGGCACACTTCTTGAAATGGAGGTTGACGGTCCATACTTATAGGTAGAGAGCGAGCAGCAAATTGGCACACAGCCAGTGTTCCCCCCAAGCTGAGTTAGTGTGAGCTAACTTTTTTTAGCTTCCGGCTCACACGTTGTTTGTCTCGTCTCAGGAAGGAGGGCTCCAGAGCAAACTAATTTATGCAGCAGACAAATGGCTCGCTCACAACTTCAGTGCCAGGAGCTCACGAAGTAGAATTGCTGCCCACAAGACTCCACAGCTTAGAGGGAGCGTTGCACACAGCGTATTAAAGTTGTCTGACAGATGCAAGGACCAAACTGGAATAAGAAGCTTAGTTTATATGGCCGCCGTTTCTTTGGGTTTAATTCCGGCAGGCTGATATATGCCCTCTTTCCGATGTCACAGAGGGTATCTGGATGCGGTTCTCACATAATCAGTGATGTCTGGGAGTACCTGTTGTCTTACTCGGGGCTGGTATCAGTGGACCCTGAGGTGGTGCAGCTGCCAGGGCTCCGGGCTTCTGGGAGGTCCCGGCAGGGGTCATTTTACTGTGTGTGAACTTGCAAAATACAGTTGGAAAGTGCATCGAAAGTGGAATTCCAAATACCCTTTGACCCCCACTTCGACTTTCAACTAGGGGTGCCCATGCTGAAGAAAACATACCTTTCGCACAGAATGTGACTAATTTTACAATTGATGTTTGTTGATATAAAGTTCCAGGGCTCTTTTTCTAGCAGGAACTCCTTTGCATATTAGGTGACACACCCCTAATGTAGCCAATCCTCCAAGAGCTTGCAGAGCTCTTCTTACAGGGGATGGGGAGACGGTCCGGGAGCAGGAAGTGATGTTGCGCAACATGCATACATCCAGGGGTCATTCCGTAGAAAAAGAGATGCAGGGGCTCATTAGCATATCTCATTAGCATAACTCATTTGCATATGCCACACCCCCTGACATCACCGGAAGTGTGTCAGAAGGCAACACCCACCGCTCAGGCTCCACTGGCCTGTTTTGGATTGCTAGCTATTGGGGGGGGGGGAACGCACAGATCTCTCCTCACAGAGGAGGGAGAGCTTGTACCTGAAGGCAGGCCGGGGGAGGGGGGCTCTGCAACTTACCTGGCTGCTTCTTGCTCCTCGTGGCCCGACTGAGGGCTGCTGGGAAAAGGGGGTGGGGCTTGTTGCATGTGCGCGCCCCCTGGGCTCCTTACTGCCGGAGCTCCGCTCCTGTGCGCTCCCGCAGGAAATGACCCCTGGGTCCCACTGCCACCGGCCACCTGTTTTCCCTGCTGCCCATCCACCTGCTTGCTTGCAGGTCGGGATGCCAGCCTCCAGGTGGGACCCGGAGATCCCCTGGAATTACAGCTTATCTCCAGGCTACAGAGATCAGTTCCCCTGGGGGAGATGGGCGCCTTGGAGGGCAGGCTTTGTGGCATTGACCCCCACTGAGGTCCTGCCCCTCCCCGGACTTCATCTCCAGATCTCCAGGAGTTTCCCAACCTGGATCTGGCAAACTCTGCTCCCCATCCCCCGCCAGTGGCCGGGGGGACCCGGCAGCCCTCCGTGCAAGCACCGTAACATCCCTGCTCTCCCAGCAGTCACACGGCCCAGCATTGTCAGGGCCCGGGCATGTGGCCGGGGCCGTCATCTGTAAGCACAGGTGATGAGAGGGCTTGCGAGGGAGTAGAAGGAGGGCGCAAAGGCTTGCGGGTCGGCAGGATCGGGGTCCAGAAGGGAATACCGCAGAGGCAACTAAATCAGCATTTGACGAGGCAAACCAGGATCTGAGGATGACCTGTGAGCAGGCCCGTAGCCAGGATTATTTTAGTCAGGGGCAGTGTTCCCTCTAAGCTGAGTTAGTGCGAGCCGGCTCACAGTTTTTTAGCCTCCGGCTCACACATTTTTCTCTTCGCTCATGAAGGGAGGGCTCCAGAGCCAACTAATTTAATGCAGGAGCCAAATCGCTGGCTCACAACTTTAATGCCGGTAGCTCACAAAGTTGAATTTTTGCTCACAAGACTCCACAGCTTAGAGGTCAGCGGGCATTTAAATTTCTTAGGGGGCTAATCAAAATAAAGGTAATTTAATCTGGGCCCTTGCACCAGACAGCTGCTCAGGAATACCCGGCTCCTTCCCTGCACCCGCTGCTATTCAGGGGACCTGAGAGGAATGAGCAGTCGGGGGGGCCTTGCCAGTAAGTCAGGGGGCCTTGCCCCGAGATGCCCCACTGTAGCTACTGGCCTGCCTGTGAGCTGAATCCTCATTTCACAAACTGTGTGTGTGTGTGTGTGTGTGTGTGTGTGTGTGTGTGTGAGTGAGTGAAGTGCTGTCACCTCCGACTTATGGCGACCCTATGAGTCAGCGGTCTCCGAAACTGCCTGTCCTGAACAGCCTCGCTCAGATCCTGCAGGCTGAGGGACGGCGGCTGCCCCGATTTTTGACTACCCAAAGTTTAAAATCAACCATATCTTTTTAAGTTCCATCCACACACAAACACGCACACAAGTAGATGGATCCAGGGAGCTGTCTGTCTCTTATCGATGATCCGTGCATGCCGAATACTCCTGTGGTCCAGCTCTGTTAGGACTGCGTATCTGAATGCTCCCCTGTGGAAAATCACAGTCGGCAGAGAGAGGACGGGATGAGACGTGGCGGTTTCCTGGCGTAGTGGTTTTCTAAGGGCGGGGCGGATTAAGGCTCACGGGTGCCCTAAGCACTGACCACTCTTGGTGCCCCCAATCTTGGTGTGACCCTATGAATGGACAGAACAAAGTTAAGAGTCCAGTGGCACCTTTAAGACCAACAAAGTTTTATTCAAGGTGTGAGATTTCGTGTGCAAAGCACACTTCGCCAGACACTGGAACGGAATTACAGACCGCAGTTGTACCTACGGGGGATGGCTTGTTAAATTAGCATGCAAAATAGTGAAGATGTTTTTTTAACGGACAAAAAGAATGACAAGCTCGGTGTCTGGTTATCATCCGTTCGGGTTCAGCTGGGGGCGGGGAGGAAATAACACGGGTCCAATTCTGACATATGGGTGACAATTCTGACAGGTAAGAGACTGTCATTACTCACCCCCTATATGTACAACTGCGGTCTGTAATTCCATTCCAGGGCCTGACGAAGTGTGCTTTGCACACGAAAGCTCACACCTTGAATAAAACTTTGTTGGTCTTAAAGGTGCCACTGGACTCTTAACTTTGTTCTGTTCATTCATACTTTCACTGTAAGTCCGGAGCAACTGGATGGCACATAAACCTCACACGGCTCCCCTTCTCACACTGCTGACTAGGTGATGAAGTTATAAATGGGGGGCGGGTCCTCTCTCACATACACACACAGATAATTGGAAGGGCTTGAGCACTTGGAATGCACATTGTGAAATGTTAGTTGTTACTCTTTTTAAAGAATGCTTTCAGCTTGAGGGAATGGGACCCATGAAGCCAGTTTGGTGTAGTGGTTAAGAGCACGGACTCCAATCTGGGAGAACCGGGTTTGATTCCCCACGCCTCCACATGCAGCTGCTGGTGTGACCTTGGGTCAGTCACAAGTTCTCTCAGAGCTGTTCTCTCAAGAGAGGTCCTCAAAAGAGCTCTCTCAGCCCCACCTACCTCACAGGGTGTCTGTTGTGGGGCGGGGGAGGGATAGGAGATTGTAAGCCATTCTGAGACTCCGAGTGAAGGGCGGGGTATAAATCCAGTCTCCTCCTCCTCCTTCATCAGTTCCTTGGTCCATCAAAGTCAGTATTGTCTACTCAGACCGGCAGTGGCTCTTCAGGATTTCAGGCAGAGGTCTTTGACATCCCCTACTACCTGATCCCTTTAACTGGAGATACCAGGGATTGAGCCTGGGACCTCCTGCATGCCAAGCAGATGCTCGGCCACTGAGCCACAGACCCTCTCCTATGGGCCCGCGCTTGCTTCATGAACTCACAGGGGGGCATAACCAGGTACACCAACCCAATCCAGCAACAGTTGAGTTGCAGCTGAGCCCCTGTAAAAGCAATGGAAGGGTGCCACTAACTTAAGTTGCACTCCATGAAACTGCAGAGCGGTCGGGTTAGAACGGATAAAAGGAAGTACTTCTTCACCCAAAGAGTGATTAACACATGGAATTCACTGCCACAGGAAGTGGTGGGTGCTACAAGCATGGACGGCTTCAAAAGGGAATTAGATAAGCATATGGAGCAGAGGTCCATCAGTGGCTATTAGCCACAAGGTATAGCTAGGGGCTCTGGGGCAAGTGATGCTCTGTCTTCTTGGTGCTTGGGGGGGGTCAACAGTGGGAGGGCTTCTAATGTCCTGGCCCCACTGGTGGACCTCCTGATGGCACTGGTATTTCTGGCCACTGTGTGACACAGAGTGTTGGACTGGATGGGCCTTTGGCCTGATCCAACATTGGCGTCTCTTATGTTCTTATGTTCTTATGCATTGATGGGAATGGATCTTACAGCACTATCAAAGCTAAGCCCATTGACTTGAATGGATTTAGAAGGGAGTAAGTCTGCTTGCAGATGGTGCTCCTAGTCCTGATTCATTTCTGCTGGACAGAGTCCCGTATCTCAATGGAGATGTCCCGGTCTTCAGTGACGTTGTTGGAACAGATTTATTTCTGCTGGTTCCCATGCTGAGCAAACATGGAAATAGCATGTCAAAAGCAGTGAGAGGAACTAGCCCAGGGGTGACAAACATGCAGCCCGAGGGCCAGATCAGGCCCCCGGAGGGCTTCTATCAGGCCCGCAGTGGAACTGGCTGTCTTCTGCTGCTTCTTCCAGTTCTGCCGCTGCTGCATCATCGTAGCTTTGCAGCTTACAGATACACACCTGAACCACATACTCAAGATTGCAACAGCACAGACGCTTTGATGCAATCATTTAGAGCAAGAGGTGTCAGTTATCAGACACTGTTAAATAAACAAAACATTGCAAGAGTGCTAATGTTTTAAGCATGTTTTTATTTTAAGTTTAAAAAAACCCTTTGTGTTTGTGTCCTTTATAAAGTTTATATCTCTGCTACCTGGTGTTACATTTCATAACACCCATGGCCCGGCCCAACAAGGTCTCATTTATGTCAAATCCGGCCCTCGTAACAAATGAATTCGACACCCCTGAACTAGCCTTCCTCCCCAAAAGAGACTGTCATTCACACACACACACAAAGTCAAATGTTTCCATCCATGTTGAGGGACATCTGGTGTCTAAGCAGTCTCCTTTGCTCCAAGGATCTTCTGTTCAGGTTCAAAACCAACATGTTAAAAGTTGCACGCTTGGGCAGCTGTGGCCGTCCAACAGCAGCTTGTGATGCGAGCTCCATCGTCATAGCACAACCATCACCTGCAGGTGGTGAAAGTTGGTTCAGCCCCGGCTGGTTTTTAATCTCTGGGGTTTGTGGAGGAGGTTTAGAGGTGGCTCGTGTCTTTCTCAGAATTTCGTGCCTGGAACAGGATATGCAGGCAAGCTTCAGAAAGCTCACAGTAGTGAAACTGAGGGGATTTGCATGCACCGAATTCAAGTGGATTGTTAACTTAGGACCCATTGGGATTGCAGATTTAGTGCCTAACCTGGCATGATGTTACGTGCCTGCCCTTACAGCCCGCGCCTGTCTAGTTAGACCCAACTTTGCCACTGTAGAACGCTTGCATGCTGTCAGTGAGTAAAGTGGTACTACATTATTTGTTGAGTACTTTCTCCTCTGCTGCCGCCAGAGCCTCCCTCCCATTCCCTCAGCCTCCACCTGGGTGAGCAACCGAGATCCCTCTGCTATGCTGGGTACCATTGGGCAGGACTGAGGCAAGAAAAGCCGAGATTGCTACTGGGGGAGGGGGCAGGGGAGAGAGAGGGAAGGAAGGAAGGCGTGGGGGCATGTGGGCTGCTTTCCCTTAGAGCACGTCAGAAGGTGGGAAAGGGAGGAGGGCCATGGCGGAAGGACAGTGGCAGTGGGAAAAAAAGAGGATGCGCTTGGCCATTTGTTTATTTTGTACAATTTTGTCCCACTGCCTTCGGGACCTTCAGGGCCAAAGTAGATAGCGGTCAGTGCTCCCTCTAAGCTGTAGAGTCTTGTGAGCAAAAATCTTACTTTTTGAGCTGCTGGCATTAAAGTTGTGAGCGAGCAATTTGGCTACTGCATCAATCAGTCTGCTCTGGAGCCCTCCTTCCTGAGCTAAGACAAAAATCTGTGAGCCGGAGGCTAAAAAACTGTGAGCTGGCTCACGCTAACTCAGCTTAGAGGGAACACTGATAGCGGTCCTTTCCACATTTGCCCGCCACTCCCGATTTTCTCAGACCGATTCCCCACAAGCAGCTGTGCCACCCTCACTCTTCTGTTTCCCCCGCTTGCATCGGTCAATTTCACAGTATTCGCTGGGCGGCCACATTTTGAGCCGTGGCTTTCGTGATTTCCTCCGCACCTTCTCGATCCTTGTTTTTTTGAGATCAAGGAGACACGGGGGAAATTGGGGGGAGCCGCGGGTCAAAATGCAGCCGTGCAGCGAATAGTGTGAAACTGACCAGTGCAAGCGGGGGAAACAGAAGAGCGAGGGCGGCATAGCTATTTGTTGGGAAATCGGTATCGGTGTTCAAGTCGAGGCAATTTAAGTCCATGGCAAAACAGCACCCAAATAACCCGGGGCAACGGCAGGCTGAAACCAGGCTGAACAATGAAGGGAGGTGATGCAGTGCAGAATGGGGGGGGGGGAACAGAATTTTTAAAAAGGTTGAACTTGATTTGTGCAGAATGGGGGGGGGGGGAACCTGGATTTAAAAGAAGGTTGAATTCGATTTTAGCGCAGAATTGCTTGGAGGGCACCGCGGTGAACATGGATTAAAAGGAGAGTGCAGAAAGGGCAAGTGATGCATTCCCAAGTGTGACGCAGGGACACAGTGCCATTTTAGAGCCTGGGGTTTGTTTTTTTCAAAACGCCACAGAGGTTCGATCCTGCTGGGGACTTTAATACAGGGATGAAGTAATCCCGCCTCCTCCCACCCCCGTGCCATTTTCAAGAGCTGAAATGGCACAGCTGTTTCAGCTCTCGAAAAGGACGTGGGCAGGAAGGCAAGAGCCCTTCATCCCCCCCTCCCCCCTCAGCCATAGTCCTCAGCAGGATTGGGCCCTGGTATTGTCTAGTTTGGTCCTAAGTTGGATGTCAAGGCACCTTTAAAATGTTTCGAATAAAACAAAGAAACAAAATGTTACAGACACCCTATTCCCACTCAACCCCAGCTTCACCTTCAGTTGGGAAGATGTTCTCTATCATCCAAGATGGCAGAGATGCTGGTACTGAGGGCACCTTCTGGACGGAGCCGGCATTGACAATGGGCTCGAATGCAAGAGCTCTGCTCATCCTGGATTTTCCTCCATGTTGCTAAAATAGTTATGTTTTGGGAGGAAATTTCTGAGATATTGAATGTGGGGGGGGGGTTGGTTGTAATAGTTACTGTGGATAGTTACTTGGTTTGGAATCCTTCAGAATCGTTCCGCTGCCCTCTCACATGGAAGCCATGGGTGCAGAGAGAATAGTTACTGCTTCCTATTTGGGAGAACACAGCACTCTGTACATGTTTAAAGGCTCTCTTTTCTTTACAAAAGGAGCTGCGGTGGCTCAAGTGGTTAAGACGCTGAACTGCAGGATGTGGAAGGTCGGTAGTTCAGCAGTTCGAGACCCGAGTGTGCCGCATGACGGAGTGAGCTCCCGTCTCTAGCTCCAGCTCCTGCCAACCTAGCAGTTCGAAAGCAAGAAATTGCAAGTAGATAAATAGGTACCACTTCGGTGGGAAGGGAACAGCGTTCCGTGCGCCTCGGTGTCTAGTCATGCCGGCCACATGACCACGGAAACGTCTTCGGACAGCGCTGGCTCTTCGGCTTTGAAACGGAGATGAGCACCGCAACCCTAGAGTCGGACTCGACTGGCTTTCGAGCAAGGGAACCTTTACTTTACTTTACTTTACTTTCTTTACAAAGTGTTACGAACTGTGTCGGTCCCTCTTTGTTCCAATTATATTGAAACGAATTTTCCACCTTGTTTCTAAAGTTAGGGCTTTTTTTGTAAAAAAAAAAAAATGTATTGATGGTGCTGTTTTGCATATATCTGTTTATTCCCAAACTGTGAAGGGATATATGGGGAAAGCAGCTGGTCTGACGATATTCTTTACCCACAGACACCAATTGGGTGCTCAAAACAGCTTCTCATTTTTTGGTTGAGGGCCTGCCCTCTGTAGACGATGTCTCAGCAGTGTCTAGCCCGGCAGTCTATGAGCCTAATAAGCCGTCTCGTGTCCTTTAACTTCCAGTCATGAAAGAGGAAACAAGCCAGAGCGAAATGGCTGAAGACCTGTGCAAAATGGGATCCGAGCGATCCCTGGTGCTGGACAGGCTCGCGAGTAACGTCGCCAAACGTAAGAGTTCTATGCCTCAGAAATTTGTGGGTAAGAGTTAAATGTTTGCTGACTCCTTTACCAAGTTGGATTTCCCCCCCCCTGTTTTACTTGTATTGTTCATTGCAACCGGACAGGCAAAGGAATTATCCCGCCCCCGCCAATCTTAGCAGTTCTTAGCTCTGGCAAAATCAGAACCGTGCAAACATTTTGCATGGATCCTTTACCAAATTCTTTACAGCTCAAGATGGGTAGCTGGGTTAGTCTGTCTGTAGCCGCAGAAACGAGCAAGAGTCCAGTCACTTCTTAAAAGACAAACAAAATTTGTGGCAGGGGGATGAGTCACGGCTCTCTTCTGCCGATACAAATTGTTTGCCGCATTTTATTTGGCACGGCAGAATGAAACACGTGAAAAACAAAAACTACAAACCAGACCTGCCTTTATGCGATCACAGATTCGGGTTGTTTCTCTTACTCGTCAGATCCCTCAGGAGGATTCCAGGGTTTACTGCCCAGAACCAGACCAGCTTAATTTCACCAACACTATAGGACCAAGTGCTTTCCGATCGATCGCTGGATCCAGTGCACTGCCTAGCACGTCCTTGAAAAAGGATTTCCCCGTTTCTGCTTCTCCCCGCAAAACGTTGTCAGTGGTCCAGCGCTCTTCTGTCTTGGCTCAATATCCTTGTGGTCTCTGCTTTAAAAAAAAAAAAAGCGATGAGAGATGCAGCCAGACATACAAATTAGTTGCATATACTTAAGTGTGTTTATTTTCAGAATGACACTTGAAAACAGAAATAAGAGCCGCCACCTGTGTGCGTGGGCCAATACACAGAAAGGGATTGGATACATCAGTTTTTTTGCTGCTTTGTTGTTCACTAAAAGAGTTATCGCACTTAATTCAGTTCGTCCTTTATTCCATTTCTACCCTGCATCCTGTCAGAGCCCTCCAAATTGGCATGAAATACAAAACAAAAAAACATGCAAATCCATCCCTGCTCTGTAAAAAAAACCCAAAATTTATCCAGGTGTCTAACAAATGACTAGCCCGATATCGTCAGATCTCAGAATCTAAGAAGAAGAAGAGATTGGATTTATACCCCACCCTTCACTACCCAAAGGAGTCTCAGAGTGGCTTACAGATTCCTTTCCCTTCCCCTCCCCACAACAGACACCCTGTGAGCTAAAAGAAGAAGAGATTGCATTTATACCCCACCCTTCACTACCCAAGGGAGTCTCAGAGCGGCTTACAGACTCCTTTCCCTTCCCCTCCCCACAACGGACACCCTGTGAGGTAAAAGAAGAAGAAGAAGAGATTGGATTTATACCCCACCCTTCACTACCCAAAGGAGTCTCAGAGTGGCTTACAGATTCCTTTCCCTTCCCCTCCCCACAACAGACACCCTGTGAGGTAGGTGGGACTGAGAGAGCTCTGACAGAAACTGCTCTTTTTCAAGAACAGCTCTGACAGAACTACGGCTTGCCCAAGGTCATCCAGCCAGGTGCAAGTGGAAGAGTGGGGAATCCAACCCGGTTCCCCCAGATTAGAGTCCACGCACTTAACTGCTACACCAAACTGGCTGTAAGCAAGGTCTGCCCTGGTTAAGTCTTAGATGGGAGACCACCAAGGAAGTTCAAGGTTGCTACACAGGGTCAGTCCTGCCTTGAAAACCCTACAGGGTCACCATAGGTTGGCTGCAACTTGACGGCATTTCGCGGACACCACAAAATCATAAAGCCATGCGAAAATCGTAGAGGGCAGATTTCTACTCCAAGCATTCTCGTATGAAAGAGAAAACCTTGCTAAAGAAGACAGGCCTTACTGATTGTCTAAAAGAGAGGGGAATCGAATGGTCCAATGGGTGTCTGTCAGCATGGACTTCCACTAGACTTTCAGTAATGGTGCTCCACCGAGCAGCACCTCCTCAGAGAGCCAATCTGGTGTAGTGGTTAAGTGTGCGGACTCTAATCTGGGAGAACCGGGTTTGATTCCCCACTCCTCCACTTGCACCTGCTGATGTGACCGTGGGTCAGTCACAAGCTCTGGCACAGCTGTCCTTGAAAAAGAGCAGTTTGTGTCAGAGCTCTCTCAGCCCCACCCACCTCACAGGGTGCCTGTTGTGGGGAGGGGAAGGGAAAGGAGTTTGTAAGCCGCTCTGAGACTCCGAGTGAAGGGCGGGGCATAAATCCAATATCTTCTCTTCTCTTCTCTTCTTCAGTACACGGAATGGGACACAAGGGAGAAATAAGTGAAGAATTTTCATGATGGGCTTTCCCGCAGGCTCAGAAATGTTCCCTTAAAAAATCATAGCATAGTTTATTCCCAAAACTAGTCAAAGAATGGCAAAAGGTCATAGTAATGTCTGCCCTGTGAACACACTAGGAAGAAGAAGGGATTCTTAAGAGTATAAGAAGAGCCCGCTGGATCAGACCAATGGTCCATCTAGCCCAGCATCTTGTCTCACACAGGGGCCAGCCGGTCCCTCTGGATGGCCAACAACAATGCATAGAGGCCGAGGCCTACCACTGATGTTGTCTCCTGGCTCTGGGATTCAGAGGCTTAGTGGAGGTTCCCCTCAGTCACCATGGCCAGTAGCCGTTGATAAACTTATCCTCCATGAATCTATCTAATCTGCTTTTAAAGTTGTTTACTCCTGTGGCCATCACTACATCCTCCAGTAGCAAATTCCACATTTTACTCACTCTCTGTATAAAGTAGTATTTCCTTTTGTCCATCTTCAACCTACTGCCCATCACGTTCTAGTGTTTCAGGTGGTTTAGAAGAGCTGTTTGGTTAAGGGTATGTTCTGCTCTAGGACTAGGTGCAGACTCCAGTTTCAGGCTCTCCTTTCTGCCCTCATGGGAAGGGAAGAGATAAAACCTTGTCAGATACAAGGCCTGAAAGGTAGCACTTCCTGTCAGTTATTCGGAGTGTGGTGTCAAAACATCTCAGAATGACTGTTCAAGATGAAACTCCAAAAGGTGGGAGCTTTATCTGCATGGCATCAAGACACCCCACATTTTCTTCCTCCCAAAAGCAAGATTATCTTTTCAGTCATCGTCCTTTGGATGATCGTGCTTTGCCATCTCAGAGTAGTGTGATGATTTGCTTACTTTCTACAAGAAAAGATGTAGGGGCTCAAATATTTCCGAAAATTACACATCCTAATTCTTGGTTAGTGCAATCCTAAACACAGTTACGCCCTTCTAAGCCCATTGATTTAGAAGGCTGTGTGGGGAAATGGGGTTCACAAGCACACATTTCTGCTCAGAAGTTATTCAGCCATCCCGGGTCACTTGCCCAGATAGGCTCTTCCTCCTCCACTCCTTTATTTTCTCTCTTTCTCTCTGGGTATTTTCGCCACCACCAGCTAATTAATTTTCCTTTCAGGGTTCCCACATGAAAGTTAAGTGCTCAGGCACCCTCTGCCACTTTGCCAATAAAAGGCTTCGCTCCATTTTTGCATCTCCCTCTCCTTCCACACTTGCTAACAAGGGGACCCAAACAGTTGGGCATTCTAGGGAAGTAGAATTTTTAACTGTGGCCCCTCCCCTTTCTGCTCCAGGTATGTGTGGACTGAACAGAGGCTTAACCTGGGTCACAGAGACCAGACTAGCTTCACTGAAAGTGAAAAGAAGCTTAGTAAGAAAATAGAAAGCACACACTGCATATTCAAACTAACAGAATGAGCAAGCATTAAAGAAAAGGTGTTCTGGGAGTTGAAAGCCAGGGCTTTTTTTGTAGAAAAAGCCCAGCAGGAACTTATTAGCATAATAGGCCACACCCAAGAGCAGACACTCATTAGCATATTAGGCCACACCCCTGATAGCACAGCTAATTAGCATATTAGGCCGCACCCCCCATGTTACCAGAGGTGTGGTCATCCAGCCACACACACCTTTTGCTTCTTATTCTGTTTACCTTGTTTGTTGTCAAAACCCAGAGCTTTTTTTGTAGCAGGAACGTCTTTGCATGTTAGGCCACACACCCCTAATGTAGCCAATCCTAATGAGTTTCTGCTCTTGGGTGTGGCCTATTATGCTAATGAGTTCCTGCTGGGCGTGGTCAACTCAGGAGCCAGCCTGTGCGTTCCTGCCCAAAAATAGCCCTGTTGAAAGCCATTAGCAATCATCCATTTCCCTGGCTGCAGAACCTGGAGGTCATTCCCCTTGTGAGCTCAGCACCATAACCTCGTGGCTACCTCTTAGAGTTAAGATGGAATCCTCCTCCTGAAAATGAAGACTCAGAGATGACAGAGCTGAGAGAGATTAAGACAACTAAGAGTTTTCGAGATCTGATGAGATCGGGCTAGCCTGGGCCATCTAGGTCAGGGTCAGGCTGTGTTAGGACCAGTGTTCCCTCTAAGCTGAGTTAGTGTGAGCTAGCTCACAGGTTTTTAGCCTCTGGCTCACAAATTTTTGTCTCAGCTCAGGAAAAATGGCTTCGGAGCAAACTAATTGATGCAGCAGACAAATCGCTCGCTCACAACTTTGATGTCAGTAGCTCACAAAGTAGAATTTTTGCTCACACGACTCCACAGTTTAGAGGGAACATTGGTTAGGACTTCAGAAAAGGAAAGTGGCTTGGAGTAGTTTCCCCCCAAACCAGTTGCTTGTATGTGAAGCTCCTTTCCGCATGAGGGAAATCTGGCCAATAAAAAGAATTCATATATATGTATGCCATATCTCTCTGGCTCATTCTGTTTGCTTACAACAGGCTCTGCAACACCACCGTATTTTAAACTAAAATGAAATGCTGACCGTTTTTTAATGTGAAAAAATAATAAAATCATGAGGCCAGAACTAGGTATCAGAGTTAAGTTGGCCCAGACCATCTCAGTGCATTGGTTTCTGCAAAGAATTCCAAAAAAAACAGTTTAAAATTCAAAACTAGTTTTTGACTGTTATCAGAGAGGTTTGATTCTGATCATCTGATGTAGGAGATTCCAAGGAGGTTTAGAATATGGAATAAAAAATTTCCTGCCATGTAAATGACGAAAATGCAAATTTAGCTGGCTCCAGCCAACAGTTTCATGTAATTTATGTTAGGAATGCTATCCAGACTTTAGTATTGATGAGGCTTCCATTTGCCCAAGGGTGATTTCCCACAAGCGCTGCTCTGCTCACTCTTCTCTTTGGCCCAATGGTACGTGTCAATTTCACACAAGCTGCTGCGCGGCTGCATTTTGCCTCGCCAGTTTCGTGCGATTTTCCCCGCGTCTACTCAATCCTGTTTTTTGAGGACTGAGTAGACGCGGGGGAAATCGCACGAAGCTGCGGGGCAAAATGCGGGCGCGCAGCAGCTTGTGTGAAATTGACACGTACCATCGGGGCAAAAGGGAGGCGTGAGCGCGGAGCAGCGCTTGTGGGAAATCACCCCGACAGTCCACCTTAAAATGGCTTACAGTGTGATCAAACAGTGTCAGTGAAAAGTATAAGACACCTGAACTGTTTGGATGCTATACATCATACCAGTTTCCCTGTAAAAATATTTGCAGCTGAACCTATTGTCTGATTAAAAAGCACAAAAGAAAAATCTGTGACTGAAAGCCGTTAATCTCACGAAAGCATCAGAGGTAGCTTGAGCGTGGCGATGCCACAGTCAGTTCTGATTGGCTAATGCGACCGTCCTGCCTAACCTCGCACTGTTCTGGTTTGCAGGTGAGAAATGCATGTCCGACGGTCCTTACGATGCGACCATTAGTTACGAGAAGGAGAGCGATATGATGCAGACCCACGTCATGGATCAGGCCATCAACAATGCCATCAGCTACCTAGGGGCGGAGTCGTTGCGCCCCCTGGTGCAAACCCCACCGGGGGGCTCTGAAGTCGTGCCCGTCATCAGCCCGATGTACCAGCTCCATAAGCCCCCCGGAGACAGCCACGCCCGCGCCAATCACGCCGCTCAGGACAGTGCGGTGGAAAACCTGCTCTTGCTTTCCAAAGTCAAGTCGATCTCATCCGAAAGGGACCCATCGCCCAGCAACAGCGGCCACGACTCCACTGACACAGAGAGCAACAATGAGGAACGCAGTGGTTTGATTTACCTCACGAATCACATCGCGCCCCATGCGCGCAACGGCCTCTCTGTGAAAGAAGAACATCGGCAGTACGACATCCTGAGGGCCGGCAGCGACAGCTCCCAAGACGCTTTCAAGGTCATCAGCGGCAACGGGGAGCAAGTGAAGGTTTACGTCTGTGAACACTGTCGCGTCTTATTCTTAGATCATGTCATGTACACCATCCACATGGGCTGTCACGGGTTCCGTGACCCTTTCGAATGCAACATGTGCGGCTATCGCAGCCAGGACAGGTACGAGTTCTCTTCTCACATAACCCGAGGGGAACACCGCTTCCGCATGAGTTAAAACTTTTTCCTGCACGTCGGAGTTGCCCAAGGGCGGCAGCAACCCCTCTCGCTTTCCTCCTCCCACTCCGAAACACAAAGCGGCAGACAGACAGCAACGGGACAGCATCTAATCCAAATCAGGAGGTTGGGGCCCCCCATACATGGACTCCTCTTGGTAGCATGCACACACCATTCAGCTTTATACTATTAATAGTGATGCTCTTCCTGCAGAAAGATATGAGCCGTCGGAAACATTAGTTAAAGTAAGTAGGAGCTTTTTTAGTTAGGTCGAGGAAGCCCTTTCTTGCTAGCAGTTCTTTTCAGCCACCCCCTCCTCCCTCCCCTTTCACGCATGGCAAGTTAAGGGCACACTCATATCCAAATCTGACTGAAAACAAGAAAGACGGAATTAACGCGGAACTTTTCTCTGTTGATGTTCTGAAAGGACACTTCTTACTCCATAATCAGTGCTCCCTCTAAGCTGTGGAGTCTTGTGAGCGAAAATTCTACTTTGTGAGCTCCTGGCATTAAAGTTGTGAGCGAGCGATTTGGCTCCTGCATAAATCAGTTTGCTCTGGAGCCCTCCTTCCTGAGCTCGGACAAAAATGTGTGAGCCGGAGGCTAAAGACTGTGAGCTGGCTCACACTAACTCAGCTTAGAGGGAACACTGCTCTAAGCAGTGTTTTCCCGATTCCCATAATTTTCCAGATTTTCCAGATCCCCATAATTATTTGGCACTTTCACTAACTAAGAGCTGTAATACACATCTAGGATAGGTTAAAAATATCTTACATTTGCCAGGGGTCTCACCTCTATAAACCTCTTCTGGTACCATCACCGATTACTATGAGCATTCTTAATGAGAAGTTTTCTCCATACCAGTGATGGTGGGTAAAATGGCTACTGCTGTGTTTATTATGGGTGCCATTTTTGTGGATTATTCTAAACTGCCTTAGAAGCTGCAGGACTAGTGCCAGTTAAGTCAAGGGTAAATTAATGGTTGTGGTCAAATCCAGGCCAGAAAAGTAAAAACTCCCGCGGCTTATGACTCAAGTTGAATAAAAACTCAACTGAATCCTAATCCAGGTCCATGATAAATTGGTTGCAAGGGCTTTTCCGCATGGTCTGCTTGCTCCTGATTTTCTTCAGCGTCGACCCACAGGCATTGGAATCGGTTTGGGCTGGGTTCTTCTGCAAGTCTGCCCTCCCTCCTCTGCATTTTCACAGTCGTGGAGTCAGTTTATTTTCTTTTTGCATTTGACTTTAATAATGAGGATTTTCAGAGAAGGGCGCTGTCATTGTCGGTGGCCTCACAGGACACACACAACCCCTTATTTTTTCACATACTCCTATCAGTGTATCGATATCATGGCTGCATTTTTTAAAAAAGCACTAAAATATTGATCTATCAATTCGATTCGATTTATTACGATCAAAGATCAGCCAATATTTTAAAATGTTACATATAGTTAACAGTGAAATACAGCCAGACAGTTGGTACAGGTAAAAAATTTACTTAAGATAACATGGATTTTAAAATTTCCTAAGGAGTGATAGTCTTCTGTCTAGTTAGGATAGCCATAGCACAAAATCTTGCTACCTTAGCAGGAGTTTCATTACAAATATCAGCTAAAAGAAGAGTAGAATAAAACTGATTTGACCTGCCTGGGATTGATCTATCAATATAATGTCGTAATGATAGGTTAAGCATGTTCTCAGAATTCCCAGCTTTCATTAAAAAAAAAAAAGGTAAACCTCCAGCCCGTTCAGTTGCAGAGACATTAGGAAAAAGTTATATCTCCTCAAGGGAAGGCTCGAGAGAAACAAATGAAATCTGGGAATTCAAAGAACCCGCTTAACTGATCACTACAAGGGGATGTTGATATAACGATATGTTAGTGCCTTTATTTAAAAAAACCTAAAACGAAACCACTCGTCTTCAGGACAGTGGGAAGAGAAGAGGGAGTGGTTAAGAACATAAGAGAGAAGCGAATGTTGGATCAGGCCAATGGCCCATCTAGTCTAACGCTCTGCCACACAGTGGCCAAAAATACCAGGTGCCATCAGGAGGTCCACCAGTGGGGCCAGGACACTAGAAGCCCTCCCACTGTTGACCCCCTCCCAGCACCTTGGTTTGACCATGACAAAAGTCCAGTCATTGAAAAGTGGGCTGGAGGTGGGTGGGAGTGGGCGGGACAAAGGAAACGGAAAGAAACATTACCCGTGAGGAAAAAGACGACTCAAAGTCGGCTTCCAAAATAAAAGGCGGGAGTAAAAATGGTCTCAAAAGAACCACGGGGAGGGAAAAAACGGGGGGGGAACAAACCAAAAAAAATGAAGCAAAAGTTGAAGGTTCAAAAATGCATGTGGAAATCAGGGAATAAACCGAGGCAGTAAGAGGTCAGAACCGGTAAAAGGAAACTGTGTGGAAAAGCTCCTAAACTCACTGAAATAAGTCTGGAGAAACACAAGTCTAGGGGATGGCCCAGTTCACAAGAGTATCCCCTTTTGTCAGAGCGTCAGGCTCGGCCCTTGGCCACAAATTCCTGTTTGAACTCCACTGAAGTTCACAAAGAAGCTTCCGAGGGTGTGAGGGGGAGCTGCTATTCAACAAAAATAAACTGATCCTCCACTGCACATGTGCAGTCTCTTGCGTGTGCTGGTGTGGGCAGCCTTATCGCTAAAAACGACAGTAGTGCCTACACGAGAAAGACGATGAAACAAAAGCAGTGTGTGCCAGTATATGCTGTCCGGTATGCCTGTTTGGGTTCATCCGCATCGGATCAGCTTTTTTTTGCAAGCACCTAGATCGCTCTAGTATAACACAAACGCTCCAACTTGGAATTGCGCATTTTCAGTTGGTGGATGTGGCTTGCAGTTAATACACTTTCCATCTGCCTCAGCAAACCATCTGCCACTTTTAAAATCAAGAGAGTCCCTTTTCATCAAACATGAAAAATGAGAGAACGTACATTGGTAGGAGTGATTCTGGTTCCCTTATTATTCATCCTTGCTTTGGGGTGGCCAAACACATTCAGTCATGTGGCTAAAACGCAACTGCAAAAAACTCACCCGTTTTACATTGGGAAATACTTCTTTTGCTTTTACGGGGGGGGGGATCCCCCCCTATATTTTCTGAGCTCAGAGAGAGGACTTGTAGCTGGTTATCCTTTATGCCACAGTAAAGCCCAGGATGGGACTGCTGCGGTGGCTCAAGTGGTTAAGACGCTGAACTGCAGGCTGTGGAAGGTCAGTAGTTCAGCAGTTCGAGACCCGAGTGTGCCGCATGACGGAGTGAGCTCCTGTCTCTAGTTCCAGCTCCTGCCAACCTAGCAGTTCGAAAGCAAGAAATTGCAAGTAGATAAATAGGTACCGCTTCGGTGGGAAGGTAACAGCGTTCCGTGCGCCTTGGTGTTTACTCATGCCGGCCACATGACCACGGAAACGTCTTCGGACAGCGCTGGCTCTTCGGCTTGGAAACGGAGATGAGCACCGCAACCCTAGAGTTGGACTCGACTGGCTTTCGAGCAAGGGAACCTTTCCCTTTACCTTTTAAAGCCCAGGATATCTTCCATAGGGAGTTGCAGGTGCAACCAGCCCTTGCTCTCTGACGTGCACATTCATGTTGCAAACATAACTGAGCCCCTCTTGGTCACCGTCACACTATACTCCTCTAGGCCCCTGCTCAAAATAATTCTTTGGTCTGCACTTAAAATTGTACTGTATGAAAAGACCGTAATACTTGATGCTGTTGAGGAAACCGAGAGCTATAATTGGCACACCTCGTTCCTTCACTACCAGATTTGGTATAAAGCTAATTGATACCAGTATTTAACCTGGCCATTATAACTGGAAATAATAAGGCTTTAAAGATATACGATTTCTGATTCACCACAGGGGCCGTTCACCCAAAACCTTCTCGCTCCTATGTAGCCGTTTCTTACAGGCACAGACTTGGATGATCTGTCCACAAAGCCTGCACCATTCAGTTCAATGGAAGAAGCAGAGCCATTCCTTGGCATGTACAATGCTATTTATTCCATTAAATTAAATGGGCAGCCTGTGCACATATTAAGAGCTCCATGTAGGGATGCCAGCCTCCAGGTGGGACCTGGGGATCCCCCGGAATTACAGCTCATATCCAGGCTACAGAGATCAGTTCCCCTGGAGAAAAGGGATGCTTTGGAGGGGGGGCTCTGTGGCTTTGGACCCTACTGAGGTCTGTGTCCTCCCCGGGCTACATCCCCAAATTCCCAAGAGTTTCCCAACCTGGATGTGGCAAAAAAAAAAATCCCGCCAGTGGCCGGGGGGGGGGGGACTCTGGACACCCAAACTCCGAGATGGGCATCAGAACACGCACATGACAGTGCTCTGTATTGGAGCATCTATATGCAGGTTCATATAGCTCTGAACATCTCCAAGGCACCAACATGTACACACAAAAGTCTGTAGCGGGGGAAAGTAACTTGAAATTCAAACCAGTCTCTCACGGGAGGGGTGGGGGGCTGGAAAAAAAGTTTGGAAGGCTGCGGTCTTCCCGGCACCCTGTCCTGGCCCGTACCGGCTTACCTGCACCCCAGTCTGTGGTTTTATATGTATCATAGCTATACTTGTATAGATATCGAGTAAGCCATTATCAGAGTGATTGCATTTCTTGGTTCTAGGTTCTCCTATTTATGTTGTAACACAAATACATGGATAGTGAAGGCAAATGCAGTTTAGTGACTTAGCGGATTAGTAAGTGGCACTGTTATCGGAAAGCACTGTCTATGGGTCACGGAGGGTGGGGGGCTGCTACCCCCTCTCTGTGAAGCTCACAGAATGGGTCTCGTTTTATTTGAAAATAAAATGTACTACTGATTATTTTATTTTTTTTAATTTATGATTCTGATCAATGGGACTCCAAGAGCCATTCCTGTTCTGGACAACTTAGAAGGATGAACTGTTTGAACTCTTTTACATGGAGATGTATTATTAAATAATATTTCACAGCTGTAAATAGCTACAGAATAAGAAAATGCTTTTCAGAACTCACCCCCCCGCCCACCCATCCCTGGCTCGGCACTGCCTTTTTATACTTGTACTAAACATTTTTTTTGTTGTGGTTTTATATTGTAACCTCAGTTATCTTACAGACCATTGTACACTTTTTTTAAAAAAAATGGAAGCAAGTTTCATAAAAAAAATCAGAATGTATGTAAAGTTTTCTTTGAAAGTGAAGAACGTTGTTTCGTAACAAAGCCTACTTGGAACCTTTCCTTCTGTGGAAATACAAGCAAGACCTTTGGGCTTGTGGATGACGGGGGTGGTGAGCGAGGGCAAATACTGAAAAGATAATTAGGAGCAGAAATACCTTGAAGCA